CAAACAATCCACAGGTAAACGGCCAAGTCAAAGCCATTAACAAGATTATTAAGGACACATTGAAAGCAAAACTTAACTTGTTAAAAGGAGGATGGGCTGAGGAACTCCCCAATGTGTTATGGTCTTATCGTACTACCGCAAGAACAAGTACTGGAGAAACCTCGTTTTCAATGGCTTTCGACATAGAGGTCGTGATCCCACTAGAGATCAACATTCCTTCGCTACGCATAACTGATTAGGACGAAGAAAGGAACCACATGGCTCTTCACACGGAGCTCGACCTAACCGAGGAAAAAAGAAACAATGCCGAACTCAAAAATGCCGTTTACAAACAGCGAAACGCCAAGTACTATAATAAAAAAGTACGAAAAAGAAAATTTGAGATAGGATCCCTCGTCTTACGGAAAGTATTCCTCCCCACAAGAGAGATCGACAGTGGATGCCTAGGTCCGAATTGGGAAGATCCCTATCTGATAACGAAGGTCCTGCTAAAAGGAGCATATGAACTGAAAGACTTGGAGGGCAGATCCTTACCCCACCCTTGGAATGCTAAACACCTTAAGCAGTACTATCAGTAAAGGGAAAAAGTCCCCTTGTAACGTCAATCACATCAATAAAAAGGGACTTTCTATTTTTTTTGAACATTTTGCTCAGCAATCTTTCAGAATCTCATTAAGCCCTGCCTCATGTGCAGGCCGATCTAAGGTCGTACGTGCTGTGACACTTAGTGGAAGATTCTTCCTAAGGAACCTTATTAAGCCTTGCTTCATATGCAGGTCGATCTAAGGTCGTATGTACTGTGACACTTAATGGAAGATTCCTCCTAAGGAACCTCATTAAGCCCCGCTCCATATGCGTGTCGATCTAAGGTCGTATGTGCTGCGACACTTAATGGAAGATTCCTTCTAAGGAATCTCCCCTCCTAAGGCATCTATAGAGCCCTGCTCTTCAAAGTTGGACGAGCTAAGGCCGTACGTGGTACTACACTTGGTACAAATGCCCAATGTATATGCCTGATTCGGAAAGCGCGTACTACACAACTAAGCAAAATTCATTTAAAGTAATTCTACACACTATTGTAACAAATTATCCATTTATTTATATATATATGCACTCTTGCTTAGTGGATTACATTTGGGTTGCATTTGGAAGCAAGAATGTATGAAATTTTAGTACGCTCGTGTTTAGTGTTAGTTTATGATTTTGAAAATTTTACTTGATTTTTGAAGTTTTACAGAGATTTTCTTTCCAAATAAGTTATTGTGTTGGGGGTTATCGTTAAACCAAATTCTTGTTGTGTTATGTTATGAATATGATTTTGAGTTTGCATGAAGTTCGTCTCATTTTTTAATTTTTGAATCAACTTAGTTATATTTTATTTGTAAGCTTGATCATTTATCTATACATTTTGATATTTTTATGGGGTCATTGATTCAATTTTTGATGAATAAGGAGATATGTTTGTTTTGTGATTATGTTTTCTCTAAGACTTGATTATTTGATTTGTAAGTACAATAATTAAAATGAGTATGTTGAGATTTTTTTTCATCTTTTATTGGCAGTGAGTTGTTGAATCGATTTATGGTTGGCTCACTGTACTTCGGATAAAACTTTTTGTTTTAATTTAAATATGGGTTGAGTTTGTGAGTTGATATGTTTTTTAATTTGATGTAATGTGGTTTAATTTGAGGATTCAAATATTTGATTCATGTTAGCACATGAAGAATTCATGTGTAGTTCTTAGGGAACCCATCTATCGAGATAAAATATCATTATCGACAGTTATGATTTGAAATTCGTGACAATTGATTATTGCTTCTAGACGGTTATGATACAATGTCAAACTTGTTTCATCTACTCTCCTACGTGTGTTACGAAATAAATGTATTACCTATTATCATTTGATCTTTGGTATTTGTTCATGTTACTAATTTTTGAATAAATTAACAAACTATAATGCCATTGGAAGAGTACCTGAAGCGCACATTAGCCCATCTTTTAGTAAAGGAGCTTCTCGGAGGTGCCCTCAAATGCTACCGATCCAATTGAAAATGAAGAAGTGGTGGTGACGAAGAAATGGCGTTCGACGCTGGTTGCTTTGAACCGAACTCTATACACTAGGAGTGGTAAAAAAGAGAGGAAAAATGAAATAATTGAAACTTGTTGAATGGAAAGAACTATCAGGGGTTGAGAATAGTGGATCTTTGCTGGCTACGAAACTCATGTATCTAATCTTTGTACTTTGATGATGGAAAATTTTGTCCAACTTATTTTCATATATGTGTAGTTTATTTTGTAGTTTGCGAAAATATAGTTGTTTAGCCAATTGTGTAGCTTGATTGTGTAACTGTTACTAATTGTGTATTATAATCATAGTTGAGTTTAGGTATATTCAGCTAAGTGCAAAAAATTACATGGACTTTCCAATTTTGTTCAATTTAATCGACTGTCCTATGTGATACAATGACCATCATTCACTTGAAATGATGAGAGGTTGCATGATATGAAAATTCAATGAATAAATTTGAATGATGTTAATGATTCATACACATTAATCGATCGTCCTATCATGGTTATCGTATCTATGCATTACTGTATACTTGTCATATTGCTTAGTTTGGTACCAACCGTTATGCTTAACTATTTTTATCTTGTGTAAAACTTACCAAGTACAATTGTCGAGAATTGGTGCCCAGAAAGTTTGTTAACATTATGATAATCACTATTTGGTGATTGTGTACTAAATGACCATAGCAGGGACAATTCTTCTAGAATTTGATTATAAACCAAAATCGTTTATTAATATTTAATTAAATAATATTAAAAATTCTTCAATATATACATGTAAATGCACTAAAAAATAAAAATTATATACATACGAAAATATAATTCAATACAATCTAAAATACTAAGAAAAATATACGATACAAACTTACTTTGTAATTATAAACTTGGACAACTGCATTTTACGAGGTCTCATATTTTGAAATCGTTGCAATATTGTCTCATTCTCAATTGTTCCAAAAATCTCTTTCTTCATGTAAACCACCCAATTGTCATTCAATCAGTCATCCCCCATTTTATTGCGTAAGTCACTCTTAATTAGATTCATAAGAGATAATACACTTTTCAACACTTGCAGTTGCCACAGGTAATATCAAAACCAATGTGATCAGCCTATCAACCAACAATTATTTTAACAATGTGCTCGATTAGAAGCAATGGTGAAACTAGATGCACCATTAGAACTAGAAGAACTAAGAATGGGCTTTCGTTTTGATTGAAAAAGTCATTCTACAATCTGCAAAATACCCAAATTTATTTTTTAATTAAAATTGATTAACACACGGAGAACAGGTTGAATTGAGCTTCAGATCTTCTCTATTAATTTTTTTCACTTATGCTAATTCCCTAAACATAAATTCTCAAATCAGAAATTGAAACTCACAAATGATAAATCATAAATTTTAAGTCATAAGACATGAATTATTTATCATAATTCATAAATTACAATTCTCATTTCTAGGTCGTAACTCATAAAATATAAATCATAACTCATAAATAATAATAAAAAATTGAACGATGTGGTGTGAACAAAAATCAAAAAGAAAAAAGAGAAAAAGTGTGGAGCATATGGCACAATGATGTGGAAATATTATTGCTGATTGGATTGATTTATAGAACTATTGACCGAAATATTTGACTCTTAGTTTTAGATTTATAAAATGCGCCTTTTATCTGGAAATGTGACTCCTTTAATTGATTTTATTGGATGCCTAAGATGATGCCAAGTGTCACTCCAATGACCATCGGATATGTGACCTTCTGGCGACTTCTTAACGACTCTCCACTTCCTAGGGTTTGAGATATCGATTCATTCGTCTCTCTCTACTTTTTGAGTTCTAGAAACTCTCTCAAATGCCTTTTACATTTCTTGAGTGATCTATAAATCTAAGAGCTTCTTTACTCTTGTGTAAACATTTATGTGTAGATCGAAAGGTGTTATGATGTAATCTTAAGTGATTCAGTCTGAGTGCCTTGGTTGTGTGCATTTTTTACGATTCCATGGTTTCGATTTCTTAATACAAGTGGTTCTTCCAGTGGTTGAAGCTCAAAAGGGGATTAGGAACATTTTATGTTCTAAATCTCTTGCCTTAGGGTGAAAGATCTTGCGTTCTTTATTTTCTGCGATATTTTTTCTTGTTTCTGCACCTTATTTTCTTGTTTGTAAATTGACTGATAAATGAACCTCCTCTTAACAGTGGTATCAGAGCTATAAGACGAAAGGTTCTAAGTCACGAGTACGATAGATTTGAAAGCTTGAGACCGGTTCGGTAGTATTATTTCTATTTCTTGAAACCCTAATAAAGGGATCTAGTGAGACTGTTCTTATTTTACAACTTACAGTAGAGAATATTTGCTATCACTTAAAAGTTCTATTGAAACTGTGTTTGATATTCTAGATCATTCTTGGCAATACCTTTGTCTAGAAACCCTAAGAGTTGTTTGGAATCTAAGGGTTGTCGTGATATAAGTCAAAGATCTAGATTTCTGAAAGTCCTGCATGTATTCTTGATTACTGTATATATAACTTGCGATAATTTGTATTTGTTCTTTGTGATCTTGTACTCCTCACAAGTTGAAATACTGTGGTTAATAAGCTATTGTTACATTACTGAACTTACTGTTTATACGAGTTACATATTCAAATTTTATCTTAATGACTTCTATTACATTTGAATTGGACATTTTGAATGGTAAAGGAGACTTTAGTCTCTGGCGCAAAAAAATGAGAGCTATTTTACTGCAACAAAAATGTGTGAAATTCATTGAAGAGTCATGACCTGATGGTTTAGAAGAAAACAAGAGAACTAAACTTGATGAAACTGCATGGAGCTCTATTTTTACATTTATCTGATAATGTCCTTAGAGAAATCGATGAAACAAAAATTGCTGCTAAGTTTTGGAAAAAATTAGAAGATACATAGTTGAATAAAACTATGCCTAATAAGGTGTATTTTTCAAAACAATTTTTTGGTTTCAAACTGGACCCAACTTTGGATCTTGAAGTTAACATTGATAGATTCAACAGATTATCTCGCGATTTAGCCAACTGTGATGAGAAACTCTCAAAAGATCAGTTGGCTGTGGTCTTATTGAACTCAATTGGTGACAAATACAAAGATGTTAAAAATGTTATTGAGAATGGGAAGGAAATTCTAACCGTAGATGTGATAATAAATGCTTTAAGAAACAAAGAGTTAGAGTTGAAATTTGAAAGAAAAGAATCTAATAATGGGGAAAGCTTAATGGTAAAATCCAAACCTCATCTCAAGAATGTTAACTTCAGTAATAAATTTGGATACAAAAGGAAGGGAAACTTTAACGATAAAATGAAAGTAAAGACAAAAGGCAAGAAATGTTTTTACTGTCAAGAAGAGGGTCATTTTATTAAAGATTATCCCAAAAGACTTAGTGAATCAATGACTAAGTCTAAAATCAATGGTGATGCAGCCTTGGCCTATAATGATGAGGCTAATATAGATGAAGTCTATGTTGTGACAAACAGTCTTCTCAATCAAGAATGGATTCTTAACTTTGGTTGCACATGTCATATGTGTCCCAACAAAGAATAGTTTATTGACATTGAAAATGTAAATGGTGGCCAAGTGTTAATGGGTAATCATATGACTTGTCAGGTTAAAGGAATATGAACTGTCACCTTAAGAGTAAAAGGAAATAATAAACATGTTTTAAAGGGGACTAGGTATGTACCTGACCTACAAAGAAACCTCATCTCTTTAGGTGTCCTTGATGACCTGAAATATCATATTATGATCAATATGGGATACATTAAAATCTTGAGGGGCTCTCAATTGATTACAAAAGCCCCCAAGAGACATGGTCTTTATATTTTACAAACCCAATATTTTATTGAATCCACTTCAATAGCAATTTCTGTTCAAAATATATGTCACAAATACAGCATAAAAGGTTAGGCCATATAAGTGATAAAGGGTTGTAGATTCTGAAAAAAAGAAGAAGGTGTTTTTGGGAAGGATAAAATTGAAAAACTCAGTTTTTGTGATCACTACATTCTAGGAAAGCATAATGGACTTCCATTTTTCCTTGTGATGCATAAATCTGTGGTTATACTTGAATACTTGCATGCCGACCTTTGGGGACCAGTANAGTTACAAAATAAAGAAGCTAAATTTGGTGGTGGGAGTGGAGAAGCTTTGCAAAATCAATCTAGTTCATCTGCTCCCAGAGAAGAAGGCGAAGCTTTTGCCCACTGTTATGGAGTTGGTGACTTGGTGTGGGGCAAAGTAAAATCGCATCCATGGTGGCCTGGTCACGTATACAACGAAGCCTTTGCTTCTCCTTCTGTCAGGAGAACCAAGCACGAGGGCCATTTGTTGGTTGCTTTTTTTGGGGATAGTAGTTATGGGTGGTTCGACCCTGCTGAACTAATACCATTTGAAGAGAACTATGCGGAAAAATCCAGTCAAATTACTTCACGACCATTTTTAAAGGCAGTGGAAGAAGCCGTGGGTGAGGTATCTAGGAGACGCAGTTTGGGGTTAGCCTGTCGGTGTCGGAACAAGTACAATTTCTGGCCCACAACTGCTGAGGGTTACTGTACTGTGGATGTTGGATGTTATGAATCTGGTGGGGTTTACTCCAGGAGGCAGATCAAAGAAGCACAAGATAGTTTCCAGCCAGGGGAAATGCTCAATTTTGCGCAGCAGCTAGCCTTGATGCCCTTGACTGATGATTATTGGATGCTCAATTTCATCAAGAACAAGGCTACAATTTTGGCATGCAGGAAGGCATTTTTCGAGGCTTTTGACGAGACATATGCACAAGCCTTTGGTATTGAGCCCGTGCGCCCCACTCCTCCCTCACAGCCGCTAGTGGTGGATCCAACTAAAGGTATTGTTTTGTATTCATTTGTTAAAAAAAAAAATTCCAATGATTTACACTCTGCCAATTATGTTTATGGCAGTATATGTGGATTTGCTTGATAGTTATGCAACTCATAAATTATATTAGTTCCCTTGAATTTTATTGACATGATAGCTTTGTCAAAGTTGTAGCTTATGAAGTAGTATTTTTACACACCACTATGCACTTTTCCTTCCATTCTCTAGTTTATGCTAATTGAATTTATTTATGCCTTCAATAACACCAAACGAAGTAAGGTTTTGCTATGACTATGTGTAAGGCTAGAATATGATATTGTGAGAGATCATGCTCCATTCAACTGCTTGAAAATATATGATACCTGCATAAGCACTTTCTTGTTATATTTCTTTTGTATTCTTGAGGAGTCTATATGATACTAAGGAAAGATGGATACATTGGAAACAAGGTTCACAACCATAGAAAGTGTAAATATAGAGATTGGAGTGCTTGTGGAGCTTAAGCAATTGTATTTACTTGGACTTAAATGTATATGCATATATTATGACCATGACGTATGAGTTCTCAAGTAAACTATACTTGATGTGTTACATCAATCTTTGAGCTTTCCATCTTGTCCTTTTATAATTTGTGCATTTAAAATGGTTGGGAGCAACATGTTTGTGATAGGGCAATAAAAATCCGTGTATTATCTATCATAATTTCATTTTCCCCATATAGCCAATTTCAAATTTTATTTTCATTTGATTTTTTGAGCATAGACGCTAATGAATTTGGGATTCAAATAGTTATCTTTGCAATTTGGATGGTATAACCCTTAGTTGACCTCTTTTCTTGACACTTATTTGGTCTTGAAATTGTTCTTTCCTACGATACACCAATACTGACATGTGTGTCTGACACGATACGCGTCATCGATATGCCGACAAGTGGTTTTTCAAATAAGCACTCACACGACACGTTGATTAAATTCTTTAAAATTCTTCATTTATATAGTATAAAACTATAAATTTAGTTTTATATTTGTTATTAATTTTTTTCTATTGGAATTTTTTAAATATGAGTACCTATTTGTTATTTACTAATAATTTTGAGTTAAAAGTATATAATATTTTTAATAAAAAAAGAAAAATATTTGTGGCAGTATTCGAGGAGTGTCGATATTGACACGTGTTCGACATGAACCGGACACAAACACGCTACTCTATTTAAAGTGTTCGTGCTACAAAGGTTCTTTCAATATAAAAAGTATGTACAACCAAAGTTATTAGAAGAAACGAAAATAGGCACACATGTAATAAAGTTGCACCATTTGATGACTTCAAATCGATTATTAGGTCTATAAGATAAATTCTTGTATTTAAGGCTTCTTCTTTCTCTTAAGGGTGTTTTCAAAATGAACAGGCATTAACAATCTTTAGCAAAAGTTCCATAACTGCAAGGTATAACTTTTTGGGCTGTTTCTTTAAACCTAGAATGTTTTATGGCCTTTTTTCGCCTTATACGTACAGGACAGAGGAACGCTATTGTATGTGGAGGGTGATAATGAAGAATGTGAAAAAAATTGATAGTGATGGAGAGGAAGATGTTGATGCTTCTCTTAAAAATCCTTTAATTAGTGATAATATGAGATATTTTTAAGTTGCATTTACTCTGTTAGTGGATTATAATTTTGTTAAGTGAGTACTAATTTAAGAATTGTTACTTTATCAATCTCTCTATGTTTATTTGCAGTGTAGACTCTTAATATTGTTCATTTGTTTTACTATGGATCTTGAAGAAGTTCATGGCTAACTTTGAGCTTCCTTTATTTTTATTTATTTATTTTTTGTGTATTCTTTTTGAATTATTTTATTGGTATATCTTGAGGCTCATTCCTTGCATCATAGTGTGAGAACGCGCCAGTACCCAATTATGCTTTTGGATACATTGCTTACAAGTTTGTCAAATTTGGTCACCTAACTTTGATTTTTTCAATTTGATTGCACAACTTATATTTTTTTATTTCCATAAATTAATTCCAGTCTTACATGGCTGATGGAATGCATGATCTGGTGCTTATTTGAGACTAAATCAGTAGGTAGTTTGCAAAATAAATAGAAAGGGATCGTACAAAGGTGAAGTTAGGGTTTCTAATTCCCTAATGAGTTTTCTTTCTTTGTAGAAATGGTTAATTTAATGTCAAACGAGTGTCAGGTCACGCATTCCCTTCCATCAGGGATATAGGACTAGCCATTAGTTTTGGTTTTGAAATGATTGAAATTAAAAGTGTGTTGGATGGTCAAAATGAAACAAACTCAAGTTAGGTGGCCAACATGAATCACTTGTAGGAATCTTATGACATGCTTGTTCTTGGTTTCTGCTTTTCCATTTATTTCTTTTTTAGCTATTATGTTTTGGTTGTGTTTAATATAGGCCAAGAAACCTTGAAAATGTTCCAGGCTATTTAAAAAAAAAATAAAATTCAGTAATGACAATGAAAAGTTCTGAAAAGGCAAGATAAATGAGTGCGCATTTCTGGTTTAGCCTCAATGTGTAAACCTCGATCTCTTTTCAAAACGACAAGCTTCAATATGTTGGATGCTAGTTGTTTAGTTATTTACTATTTTCTGGATCTGAACAAATTTCCTCACTTAGTAGGGATTGTGGGGGGGGGGGGGTAGGTTTGGACTCTGAGACTAGGCATATTTCCTTGGTATTGGAGAGCTATTCGTGATTATAACAGTGAATATCGTGTAGTCATCTAAGAAGCATGCATTTAGATACATAATTCGAATACTCTATGATACGAGTACGTCAATGCAGTTTTTTGTTTAAGAAAGGGATACGGGATATGTGTATTAGAAGTTTTAATACCATTATTTATTAACAAATTTTACATGTATTAAAATTTTTAATACCAATTTTACTAAAATTGGATCGGACCAGTTGATTTAGTTGGAGAAATTGGGAAACGGACCAAAGTTAACCACATAATAAAAAATCAATAAATTAAGCTGAAAATCGGCCAATTAAATCAAAAATTGGGAACCAGTGAAGATTTTAATGATTTGGTCAGTTCCTATACTTATTATTTTGTTTTAAAAAATTATATAATAAAAAGGTTACCTAGGGATTGGCAACTAATTTATCTATTTTTTCACGCTATGGAGCTCTTTTATATCCATTTTTCAGTCCCATAATTGATACACTTTTGATGTGGGATTGAGAAACTCTAGTAAAGCAAAACTTATTTAGTAGTATTTATGGCCACTTGGTTCAGGACTGCAAAATAAGTTACTCAATTCCTATAGATTGTTGGGAATTTTTTATTTTCAATCTTACAAATTATTTAGTAAAATTGGAACGAGTTTTTATAGTGATTTAGCAAATTAAAAACTTATAAGTTTCACATTAAAAAATATATCTTTAACATATTTGTATTTATTTTTGAGGAGGTGTATAAGATTCATTTAATACCTCAAGAAGAGGGTGAGGATGAAACAGGGTAAGATTGATGGTGTGAAATTTAATTATATGCTGTTGTCAAAAAAAAATTAAAATGTTCATAAAAATTTATTTATTTATTACATTCGGTTTGACCCCAATTGAACTTCTTGACCTTTGATTCTTTCTCTTTTTTGGTTCGATGCTTGGACCAGGTTTTGAAACATTGTTTAATACTATTATCTATTTTCAATAATAAACTCTAGTTATCAAATAATTTTAAATTTTAGTTGCCAATTATTTGCTAATATATATTTTCAATAATAAGTGTAAATTGTATATTTATTTATTATCTTAAAATACATATACTTTCTTTGAAATTGTTAATTAATAAATATTATCTATTTTTAATAAATTATTTATAATAACAATAGTTATCTATCAAGTAAAACACTTGTCATCTATTGCCTAAACCAATAAAACTCTTTTTTGTCATGACATATCTTATATGTGTTGCAAGCTAAAAAAATATAATTTTTTAAATAATTAAGAAATACGTATAAGGTACGCATTAGATAGTGTCCAAGCATATTCAAGCTTGGATACGTATTTGGTGTAGGTACACAATAAATTTACAAGTATCCGTGCTTCTTAGGTAGTCATCTTTCGATTAGCCTTGACCTTGATAGAGGATAGTCATGTGATTCTAGGATATCGTACTAAATAAGTTCCAATGGTGATTATTTGGTTGGGCTTCCAGTTTTGACGGATTATGTTTTGATGCTTGAGAATCAACCATGTTTTTCATTAAGAAATTGTTTAGATTGTAACTAGTTGGGTCTAGTGAGAGAGTGTTGGAACCTGAGCTAGACCTAGCGTATGAAACTTCTGTATCTCTACTATTGTTTTAGTTTGATTGTTTAGAAGATGGTTAAGATTAAGCTTGATTGTAGTGCTAATCTTTTTGCATGTCATAGTTTTATTTTGAGTTGTTGAAAAGCTGGTGAAGACCAAGCTTGACCCAAACATTAAATTGGAGGACCAGGCTAACTTTTATCTTGGGTTACTGAGAAGTTAGTTAAGAATAGATATGCCCCTAGAATTAGTTTTTTGGATCATTGAGATCTGGTAGATTCGGTCATTGCGATCCAGAAAAAAAGACATCGATCCTGATTGTAGTTGGAACTCCTATTTACTTGGGAGTCTTCTTTTGTGTGTGGAGCTTTGCTCGAGAGACTACAGATGGCAAATTATCCAAATTCTATACTTCTGGAAGTGCACAATTCCCTTTATAATTTTGAGTGATGCTACCATATTAAGGTTTCTAATTTTTGTGCGTGGATTTGATGCTATTTTCCATGTCAACTGAATTTTCTGTAGTTTTATAACGATCGTCTTTTGTTAACTTACGTGGCTCATGCTCCTTGCCCAAACTATAGGCATACTGTGCTATCCCTTGACCACCCAGTCAATCCAATTCCAGGATGCAATGTGGCTGCATATTACAAGCACCTTAGAGGCTCCAAGCTGAAAGGAATTGGGTTGAACAACAGTCTTGTTTACCGAATCTCCTGCTCTCACAGACCAAGATATATTGTTAACAAATGCACATCTGCTACATTAATTTGGGAAGGATCCTGAAACAATTGGTGCTGTTGATGGCCATGCTTGGCCCCGGGGCGGGGGGGGGGGGGGGAGGGAACC